GACGGGGCAGCCGAAGCGGAGCTGTCGGGTTTATCCCCGGCGAAGTCCCCCCGGGGCTCTTGGGGTGAGTTGGGGCTGGCGCCGCGGCGGGGGCTGAGCCGGCCCGGCCCGGGGCTCGGTGCTGCCGGCGGGGCGAGGCGTGATTTACGGGCTCCCCGGCAGCAGCCGGGCGCTGGGAGGCAGAGGGAGCCGCGTTTCCAGCTCTCCATCAATTATGGATGGAAACAAATACTGGAGTCAGTTCTGAATTATCCCCGTGCCGCGGCGGGGGCAGCTCCGCGCCCGCCCTCCTGCCGAAAACAATGCTCAGGTGCAGAGCGGGGAAACTTTTTTTTTCTGGGGGGGGTGGGGGCGTTTCATCACTGCAGAAACCGATACAGCTGCTTTCGGGGAGTAATTAGAAAGGGTTTAAAGCCTTCTTTATTATTTATAAGGATTAATAGAAATGAAAGGTCACACAGATMTATCTAGGTGGCTATTACGCCTGTGTTTTAAAGGGCTGCGGGGTGGTCGTGCGGGGTTTTTTTATTATTTGTTGTGTTTTATCTTGTGAATTGAAAAATGCGATTAACTGCTTTAGGTTAATGTGTTGAAAATATTTTAGTTCCGGTGGATATCCCACTTGTTAGCATGAATACAGCTAGTCTTAAATTAGTGGGTTTCTGCCAATCTCTCAGTTGTTTCTTACTTCTGGTCGAGATTATGTCTGTATCACAGGCATTAGCTTGTGAGTAATTTGAGCAAAATTCAGCCCTCAGTGTGTGAAGTCGTTTGTATTTGTATGTGTGTGTAGCTTAGAATACATTTACTTGGGAGCATAGCAGCAGCAATGATGGTTCATAATGCTCACATATGTGGCACTTGCTGTACAGATGGTATTGTAGCTTATCCATGTACACACACACACACGCTTCACACATAATGTGCAGGAATTACAGCAAACTTCTTCCAGAATACTTTTCATTGCTCTGTAAATGTGTGGCTTGCTTTTTCTTTTTCTTTTTTTTTTTTTCTCCTTCCCCTTAGCTGTTTCCTTTGGGGAAAAAAGCACGCATCTTTACTGGGATACCTTTGTGCTTCAAGTTGTTGGTTTTATTAATGTTTCCCAAATATTATTTGGAGGAACAGCTTCCTACGGTCTTAGAGGCGTTTACTGCTGGTCTGTTGCTCTCACGTACAGATACTTTCACAGAGAATTTTCTGAGGTTGTCTCCTTTTTCCAAGTCCAACAGGAAGCTTATTGTAAAGCTTTGCAATTACTTTTGTGGCAAAAGAGAATAGACRTTTTTCCTGCTTTATTCACGCTATAAAATTCTGTGCACCTCTAAAGTCTACTTCAGTTCCTTTCAGTAAATTGAGCTGTACGTAATCATGYTTAATGTAGTAAGAGACGAGCATATTTTGTTATGTTGGCAGATATTGTATAAACATTTACTCTGGCTTAGATAAAAACAAATTGCCAGCTTAGTGCTCTGATTCCTTTACTATATAATTATGAACTTCAACAGTTTTTGTGTTAGCTAATATAAAACTCGGGTTTTTAAAATCAGGAAGAAAAAGTTTGTAGTAAGAATTCGTTAGGATTCTAAATTACATAGCTCAGATTTGTTTTCAAAAAGACAGCCAAAAAAGTATAACCCAGAGGCTTTACACTGGTTTATTTAACCAGCTTCTCACTTTCATCTGCACCTTTAGTTACAGTGAACCTGCCTCCCCCATATCCTGCAGTCTGTCACTACCTGTTCTCCTTTATGGTGAGATGCAACAAAGATAACATCATTTTCTGAATGTGCTTTGTGTCATGCAGGAGTGTGTGCCAGGAATACAGTGATGGCCCTGTCAAAGCTCTACAAACCAAACCAGCTGTATGGCTGCGGGTTTTTTCCCCCCAGCCTCTCTCGCCCTTTGAGCTGGACCATCTGAATGTTTCTGGGAATGGCTGAGCTGAGCTGACTGTTTAGCAGATACTTTAGCCCTTGGAGCTGTCATAACTTTGCTGTCTGTTTATGAAGAGCACACGTTTAGATAGAATGCTTAATTATAGATGCAAATCTGACTAAATTGATCTTTGATCTGATTGGTCCTGTCATGACAGATGTRTGAAGGAAAAGTCCATCATGCAAGTTCAGCTCAAAGTGTACATTAGGCATTTGTAATAATTTATCTTCTGGTCTTACTACAGTTGAKCACATTCAGATTTCACTTCTGGATTTTTATGGGTTTTAAATTCTTTGAAAAGCRTTRGTCTCAGGACTCAGTATCCTCTGAMRTCAGGTGAAGCCCAGTTAGATGGACGGAAGCTGCATGGAAATGTTGAAAGGTTGTGGTTATTTGTCCTTCTGAAAAATAAAAAGAAATTTGAAATCTGAAGTGGGATCAAGGGTGAGTATGGTCATTTTTCAAGTGTTAGAGAAGGGATGTGACAAGCGTCTTTCAGTTCTAGTCTTTCTTTGTAAGACAAAGGAAACAGTTACTTCAACAGCCTCTGTGCCTGTATWAGCTTACGTGAAGCTTACTTGTTTTGCAGTCTCTGATATTTTTCAAGGCATAGACTATGTGTTTGCTTACTGAACAGAGGAGATGATGGTTGGTTACGTATTCATATGTCCAACCTACCTCTAATTCCAGATTGATAAAATCAGAAACCTTTCCACCTGATAAAGTAATAATTTGCTCCACAAGTAATTAAGAAAAGATGGAATAAGGCGTGTTACTGGCATTGGGTAGTACAAGTTATTTTCAGACTTAGCAACTCTGTATGTAATTAAAACAGTTCAAATGTTGCTTTCGTCAAAACTGCTGCTCAAACAGATGATCTCTTCTTACGCATCCGATGAGCTACTGCAGTTACTGTTAAAATCCATCTAAGGCATTTTATTAAGCTGTTACTTGTTCTGTGAATAGCTGCTAGCCTTGAGTTCAAAAGAAAGTGGGTTCTGATTTGTTCCCATGTCGCATGGAAGAGGTGTGCAGGGAAAATAGTATTACTGYCCTTTTGATTCTGTTTGTGGAGCTCTGTGTGTTGTCTGTCATAGCCCCCTTTCCCTCCTCGTGGCTTGACAGTAATTACAGTACAGCTAATATCAGAAGTTGATTCCATTTATTCAGACAGGAAGACTGTTGAATTGTCCCACTTCCAAAGTCAAATGTTTCTGTTAACCACAGAGATCAAATCTGTAGTGCACATATATAACATATGAGTAGTATTTATAGTAGTAACTTTTCTCTTCCATTTGGCTTTTGTTAACTAACCCAGATTAGCATTTTAACAACCCTGAAGTGAACTTCTGCCATTCTTCCTGCTTGGACAGTGTGTGTAGACCATCCATCATCCTGTCCTTGGCCACAACAGGCTACTGGCTCCATAACCATTTGGAGCTACACAGAAACCATCCGACTGTGAACAGCACAGCTGGCTACAGCAATTTTTTCTTCCACGCCAGTGGCAGCATTGTCTGGCTATGGTAACTAAAGTTAACATCCAGAACGTGAAATTTCTTTCATTCTGGCATTCCTGCCCAGCCCTGCTGCAGCTTGGTGTCCGCACCTGCAGAAGGAAGGGCTGCAAAATGGCTGGGAGGAGTGAGGCAACCGCTGGACTCTGCTTTTCGAGGCTCCAGTTTGGAGACAGCAACCTGTTGTTTGGAGTGGGATKATATTAACTCTGTCTGTACTTGAGAGGGAGCGTGCTGGCTGAGTCCTGTGTGCTCTCAGTGGGCACATCAGGGTGTGCTTGGAAAGCATCAGCTAAAGAAACACAAGTTGCCACTTTAACTTAGCCACACAAACTGCCAAGGAGCACAGAAAGAAATGGAGAATTTCGGCTGTGTATTTCACACATTCTTATAGAAGCCTTTTTAGTTCCACAACGGAAACCATGTGATTTCACAGGATCTGTGCCCAGACTCTAATACTTGCTACAGATGCTTTCCTTGGTTTGTTTTGCGGATCTATGAATGCAATAGGAAAGGAGCTGTTACAGGATTTGTTGTTTTAATTCTGAYGTGTGCTGTGAAGGGCAGGTAACCAGCAGGTGAATGTACTTGTGACTCTCTGGTGATTTTAGTTGTTGAGATTTTTGCATAATTTAAATAAATCGGTCTAGCATGGCTGTCATATGCAAGCCACTGTTTTCTTGATGGAATAGAACTTTTGCTTTCAAGAGCAAAGGAGGTCAAGAGGTATTAGTGGGAAGGGAGGGGTTTGGTGGGAGTGGAGGAGAAGAGAAGTGATGGTGGAAGAGGAGGAGCAAGGAGCTCAGGCAAGCGACATTCATTCTGTCCAGAGTGGTTACAAACCTTGTAAATGAAATCAGTCCCTGGACAGCTTTGATTTATATTCTCACACTGCAGATTGGCCTTGGTCTGCCTGACCTTGGTAACATAACAGAGGTCGTATTTGCACACAGACACTTCTTGCAAAAAAGCTTTGTTGTTGCCGTTACTTTTTTTTTTTTTTYCAACTGTTGCATCTAAGAGCCAAATTGCAGCCCGTGTTTCTAATTGGTTAGGCACTGGATAAACACAGAATGAAAAGGATGGATCCTGTTCCCACAGTGGATGATTTAAAAGCAGAGGGGGCAGATGGGTACAGTCGGGCAGTGGCCTCTAGAAGCAGGAGAGCAGTGTTGACCTGCATAATCAGCAGCTTTGCTGGTTCACAAGCCACCTAAACATAGCTGAGCTGCGTGTGTCGGGGAAAAGGGGCGCACACGCTTTGGCACCAGAGGCAAAGGGCAGCTTTGAAGAGGGCCTGGGATGAGAATGAGGAGTTAATTGGCAGTTGCATGCTGGGGGGCCCTTCAAGTGTGTGAGGGACAGCGGGGAGGCAAACGCAGAGTTGCTCATCTGGAAAGGTAACGAGTGAGCAGTGGGGACCAGCATCACAGACTGGCTGCCCACCAGCGGTGGGAGTGAAACCTCAAACAAGATGAGAGCTGATCAGCTGGTCACTCAGCTCAGYTATTACTGCGATAATGGGCTTTTCTTAATCTGAGCTGCATAGTTCATCTTCCCTTTACCAAATGGTCATGGCAGCTGGGACTCTGCTTTCTCAAGCAGCAGTAAAGTACTAGCTCACACCTCTGTTGGGTAGGACCTTCCTCAGAGCTTTGCTGCTGTGGGAGACAAAAGGTATTTCCCTCAAGTGCTGCTGCCTCSCTTCCCAGGCGTGCGGATGGGCTGGTGGTGGGCAGGGACTGCAGCACCAGCACAAAGTGTTGCTGCTATTTCTGTGTCTGTCTATCATGGCAGATGCACTTTGGGGTCAAAAGAAAATCTTCACACTTGTATGTCAAGCCCTTGTTTGTGT